GCATGCCTCTCATGCCGGTGAGCAAGTCCTGGGAACTTGTTGTGGTAGGACGGAAATATTGGCAATGCCAGGCAGCAAAGACATGACTTGGTATGCTTGTGGTGGCAACCTTTGCTCAAAGCCTTTGGTGGACTGCTTTTTATCACTGAAAATAGTTCATGCATAGACTCGAGATACGAATGGGCCAGCTGGTATATAATTCATATTTCATGGTCACATCGCAATGCTTATGTACAAAAATAGGCACTTTGGGCAACATCTTTCGCCTTCTAGTCTCTCTATCAGACATGCAGTGCGAGTGTGCCAAGTTGAGGTGTTAGGCTCTCTGAGCTCCATTCAGAAGACAGAAGAAAGTATACTATAGCAGCTGTCAAAGGTGCTATCTCAGAATGATTTTATCGAGACTATCCATCACTGATTGAACTTGACACTCTGAGCTGTGAGTGACGTCATAACCTTTATACCGTAAAGTAGGCTCACCTTTAGCCTCATAATTTTCTGAGAAGACAGTACCGTCATTCCTCCATGTAGAGATTGAGATGGGAAGGAGGAAGGTTAAGCGGCTGGACGACTCGTTGGCTCGTGGGCCTCCTAGATACGATGTGTGCTGCAGTACAAACTCATGCGAAGCAACAACTCCAGCAATGACCTGCCAAGCCACAGGCAAAGTCACGCCCTAAGGCCTCCCCTTCTGCCATCCCATTTGTCTTTTACTCCTTCATGGGGAGCCCGCAATGACAACACCTCGCTGCCAAGTGCTGATGTCCTAATCTCTATCACCAACAAGGCGGAAAGCCGGGTCCTCAAAGAATTTGCTGAGTAGCGCTGTGTGGTAGGAGGATACAAAAAGTATTTTACCAGCTTCAAGACTGACAAAACGCATAGGACGGCCATGACCCTAGTTCCTTAATCAGCTCCGTCCCTCTGCCCTCTCTCTCTTGGACTGATTCTGAGTGTATTGAAGCTCTTACTGAAGTATCTTCGAGCTTTGCTTTAGCAAAACGTTGTTGAGTGCCAGTGGATTGTTACTGCCAAGATACCACGCGTTATCATGGAGAAACAGTTATGAAGCGGGACACACACCAGTGCTGCTGTAAAGTTGCACATGAATGCTATGGCACCACCACTGCTCAGTTGGGCACACCTTTCAATGACTGGGGTGCTTACTCTGTGAACATCCTGGCAGACCTATCACTCATTCTGTACTGACTGTACTCTACAGCGCCAACAATCCATAGCGTGCAGTCGCTGCAATGAAGGCATTCGTAGGGGCATGCCATGCTAGCTGACGATAGGCTCTGCATTCTGGGGCTTGAGTCATGAATAGACCAACTGTCCGCATTTCGGCGGAGATGACCTCGATGTTATTTATACAGCGGAAACGGTGCAATACAGCAAGATTTACAACAGTTACAACTGACCAGAGACGCCGAGACCTATGCATTGAGGACTGCAGAAACTTTAGCACTAATCATGGACAGATTCCCAGATTCTTCTTGGAATAGGTGGTAGTGGTTCCCGTGCAAGAAAACCTCGTCCAATGAGCCAATGAGCGGGACGAAGCCGTGGCCAGAATTCGACTCTGTGCGGAACAGCATGACATGCCCCTTGTACTGCGGCATCACATGCGCATAGAGTATATAAATGTTGGTGAGGGTGCAGACCTCAATGTTGTGCTTCAAACGTGCACCTTGCTCTCCCATGTTGCTGAGCGGCAGCTTGATGATGCTCATCACAGTCAGTAGGACAACATGCGCGGCCTCTTCAATCTGTGTCTGCGACAGCTTGGCCTCATGCATCGGGTGCACCGACGTGTGAAGTACGAAGAGATTGATGGTCCAGCCCTCATCCTGCACGAGGCGCGCCATCTCGACTGCGACATGTCCACTGTAGGAGTAGCCTAAGATGTTAAATGGTGCGGCGTCGGGCTTGGTAGTACCAATGCGGGCCAGCTCCTCGACAATATGCGCATAGTAGTACTTGGCGTGGTTCTCGACGGTGTAGATGCCCGGATTGCACAAGGTGTTGGCGTGATCTGTGGACACCTGGTCTTGAGAGAAGTCATCGGGCGTGACATACTCAGGGTCATTGAGAGCTATGACATTGAACAAGTTGGTGGAGCGAGACAGCGCAGCGAATGTGTGGCCAAGACCAGTGGCCATGAGAATGCAGAACAAGAATGGCTTGCGAGGCTCCTCAGAAAAGACAAGCACAGAGGGTACATGGAACTCCTCGTATACCAGGGCAAGTGTCAGAGGTGTCATCGATATTTGATCAACTGGCCTAGTGGCAATCGCCTGCCTGATCTTGCCTGCCATTGCCTTGCCTACAGGCGAGTGGAACACATCCATTAGAGCGAACGGGATGTTGAAAGCTTCTTGCATTCGGAAGACCAAACGGGAGGCAAGGAGCAAATGGCCCCCCACATCAAAGAAGTTCGTGAACTGACGAATAGATGTGCAACCGAGAAGGGCTTCCATGATCCTACAGAGCTGTTTCTTAACCTCATCTCCAGGCTCGCCTGATCCATCTTCCTCTGTGTCATTGTTCAGCATGCTATCGACGTTGGTTGCAGCACGGGCTCGGAGCTGATGGTGGTCCACCTTGTTGTTAGGCATCAGAGGAAGAGTTGGGATCCAGCACACGAGATGGGGAATCATACACGACGGAAGACTCTTGTGCAGCAACTTGAGGAGTCGTGGTAAGAGGGAATGAGATTGCGAGGCCGATGTTGGTGCAGCAGTGACAGTGTATGCAATGAGCAGATTGTCTTTGCCTTTGTGGGACTTGAGATGGACAATGACGGCATCGTTGGCCAAGTCAGTTTGGCCACTTCGATCTCCGAGAGCTCCAGCCACTGTCCGCAGATCTTGATCTGGCCAGCGTTCATCCTCCCGATGAAATGGAACTGTCCATTCGGGCCCCATCTCATAGCATTACCCTGCACAAAGAATGAGACACATAAGGAAAGGACAAGCGGAGGCGACATACCGTGCGGTAATACCAAGCCACACCTGGGTTGAGTTCATTGAACCCAAGCTCGACTAAGGCCTTGGCCGACTCCTTCGGCCACCTCAGATACTCTGGACTGACACCAGCACTGCCAATCACCAGCTCACCGACCACCAGCTCACTGACCACGCCCGGGGGCACAAGCCAACCCTGTGTGTCGACAATGAGAACTTGAGTGGTTGACACTGGTAAGCCAATAAGAACTGATCTAGACGTGGGCATGTTGGCAATGTCAGTCCAGAACATGGCGGCAAAGACACAAGTCTCTGTGGGGCCATAGGCGTTGAGGATGCGGATCGACAGGTTAACAGATTTCACACTTTGGGGATTCTTGTAGTAAGACGCCTCTTTGCCGATCTGCAGAATGCTGAGCTTGTGGAAAAGCTGGGGTGCGAGATCGAGGGCTTGGCGGAATAGTGCAACGGACATGAAGCAGCCTGTGATGCTAAACAACTGGAAATGCCCTGCAAGAACGGCCGGGTCCAGAATGTTGTATCAATTGAAGCACACGACCGTGGTGCCGGTAAGTAGTGTGCATCATATGTTGATGATACTGGCATCTCATGCGAGGTTGTTGATCATCTTGATCCTGTCGCCAGGCTGGAACGGGAAGACATCCGTGTTTAAGATCAGTGCAACCACTGCGGACTGCATGATGACCACTCCCTTCGGCACACCAGTGCTGCCAGATGTGTACATGACGTAGGCAGCATCCATGCGAAGAGCACAGACAAAGTTGATGGAGGAGGTGAGGTTGATCTTGGCGAGGAAGTTGAAGATGTCGAGGTGAGTGATATCCTCCGCGTCGCTGGCAAAGTCTGGCGACTGCGAGGTCGTGATCAATAGACCTGCACCACTCTCGCGCAATAGCATCTCGAGACGCTCTAGAGGGTAGCGGACGTCCAAGGGCACATATGCGGCTCTGGCCTTAACAATGGCAAGGATGGATATGACAGCGAGGGCTGACGGAGGAATGCACATTGCGACAAACTCGCACGCATCTCCTGATACCTGTACAATCTTCTGTGCCAGCAAGGACGTGACCGTGTTCAGTTGGCTCTATGTCAGCAAGAATTCTCTCTCCTGGGAGGCGATGAACCAGGTTTGATTAATCATGTGGTAGTAACTACTACAGTGTGCGATGTATTACCTACTAGTAACTGAGCTAGCAACTGTGTAGGGCCTGTAAAGCCTGTCTGGCACCTCTCGGCATGCTATATATGGTACTTCCATCAACTGAGCTTG